ATGGTGGTCACTACCCCCTCACACTCCACTTTAGTGAGGACTACCCAAGCAAGCCTCCCAAGTGCAGATTTCCACAAGGTTTCTTCCATCCAAATGTTTACCCCTCCGGTACTGTTTGCCTTTCAATTCTCAACGAGGATAGTGTAAGCACACTTCTTTGGCCACTTCTGCGAGGTCGATGACTTAGGCTTCGTTTGGGAAGACGGTTTTTTTATTGCTTCTTAAAATAACTTTTTAGTTTAAAAATTATAATTTTTATACTAGAAAGCTGTTTTAAGAACAATAAGAAAGTCGTCCCAAACGAAGCCTTAATTTTGAGGTACCAGACAACTTTTGATGCTGTTATGTATTATTCATTGTATGCAGGGTTGGAGACCTGCCATCACTGTGAAACAAATTCTTGTGGGGATACAGGATTTACTTGATCAGCCAAATCCTTCTGATCCTGCTCAGACTGATGGAATCATCTTTTTATTAGGTTTACATTTTAGAAAGTGCCCTGGATAACATTTTTGTACTTGTGAACTGTAGAGGAGATGTTATATTAATTTGTGCACCTCCTATGTGGCGCCATCACCATATCTATAGGAGATTGATTTTGGATCAAATAAGTTATTTTGCTGCTGCTTGTGTGGGTACTACGAAGATAGTTTCAAATGCTAGGTGAGAACAACATTTAGGCATAAAAGAGTTGCGCAAAGTATAAGGAAATTTGTCGGTGAGAAGCTAGATATTTGAAAAATGAAGTTTATTAGAGGGTGATTTGGTATTTGTTTGGAACGGCTTTCTTTATTTTAGTGCGTTTCAAGCAAGTCATTTGTTAGATTAAAAGAATTTAATTTGTTGTACTAAAAAAAGGCTGGCTTTAATAAGCAGTAAATGCCGTAGACAAATAAGCTACTCAAACTATTCATTTTTCGATTAAAGGTGTTTGAGAAGCTGTTGTATGAAAGTTGCTTTAGATGCATTTATTCAAAGCAAGGTTTGTGAATTTGTGAAGATGTATTTGAAAACCATGTCACACTTTTGCTTGGATGTAAATCAACGAGTTGAAACTAAATAAGTCAAATTCGACTTATTACGACTCTGACGTTAAGCCGAGTTTTGTTAGATTGTGCTTAGCTCGAGATCTGATCAAAATATTGCTTGTATGTGTGATTGAATGCAGATATGTTTTTGCTTCTAGATTTATAAGCATTTCCATATAGCAATATTATTTGTATGTGGACTAAAAATTCTATTCTGGAGATAAAATCTTCCGAATGGATCAGATTTGAGGCTCTAATTGAGGCAAAATACCATGACCCGGTTAATTTAATATGAGTCAGCAATAGACAGCTATGATTCGCTCAAGAGAACTGAATCAAATGATTTGCAAGTCGATCTTGACTCTGGGTTCTAGATCAGCTCAAGATTAAATGGTTGCCAGCTTATTCAATTAAATATCTTCTAAGAACAACTCATTCCTTCTTATAGGAATCAGAAATTCCTGTTTTTGCAAGAGCTTTCTCATTACCCCAAACGCAAGTAAAAAGCCAACCAATCCTAAACCAATTTATCTACCGGAATTCTCCTAGAATGTATTATATCAAGCATTATGATTTAACTTACGATTTTATTGTAGGTTTGGTATCTTTCTAATCAAATCCTGAAACACTTATAAATCTTTATTTTTGAGATGACCATGGAAGCATGGAAATTATTGGGTTTCGGACACGGGACACAGCTTACGTTCCGGGAACCAATCAGATCAGACAACGTTATCTAGTACAAGTAATACCGACCTTGGTACTGTGTGTACGAGTTCGATACTGAACAGTACCTGAGCTCAATAACTCTAGTAGGGGGTGTTGTGGTCAATTTTTATTGGGCTTTGGGACGGCGTTTCCGAATCTCAAGCAATTCGTCCGTGGAAGCATAATGCTATCACTGCATCTATTAACTACATGTTTTGCTGATGTAGACATGTAGTAGATTGCCCTCTTTCTTCTCTCTTCCTTCTGATAAATGTCGTCAGAAATAAGTATCTCATAGGAATTTTCTAATAAGAACAAAATGGATTTGCAGGATCCCTGTGGATACAAGACAACGGTTAAGGCAGAGCAAAGCCATATTCCTCAGCTGATTTGATCTCTCTTTCTTCACCACAAGACAATTGTGACATTCTCTCTACCTGCTGTTTAATATGTTGACATTGCTCTTTAAACAGAGGACTTTTCTGTTTAATTAAACTACTCTTCTGGGGCTTGTATTAAGAATAGATTTGTTTGAATTCGATGAATAACTGAGGCGCAGTTGAAACCAATGTTTTTGGTAAGAAAATAACATTTTTTACTTTGGTTGTGGCAAACTGAAAATTTAAAGAGGCTGTCTGATTCATTACCTTTTCTGAGTGAATTGTTGGCGTATCATTTTGTTATCACTGCATTGTTGTAAAGTGAATTCTTTGTGGTGTTAGTAAATATTATGTTGGTTTCTTCGACTGAATTTTGCCGCGGATTTGAATCTAAGTAACACAGTTGACTAATTACTTGAGTTTCATTGAGATAGTTTTTGTTTTGGTTATTTCACACAACAATCAAAAATTTTTGTTGGCTACTAATTTTTTCGTACTTTAAAAAACAATTTGTTGTACAACTTGAAGATGCTTTCTTATAGTTTTCAAAAAAGTATTTTTCTTCAACAATAATTAATAATACACACCTTAGAACTAAGTACAACTAGACCTGGTCAATATTGGACCCGACCTGAAAACGCCGACCCGGAATTTCGGTTTGGGTTGACCCGAACCCGAAGCGGTCGGGTTTCGGGTTGGAGCCGACGAGGATTGCCCTGGGTCAATCCGAAAAACTCCGTTTATTTTAAAAAAAAAAATCATAATTTCCTGCGCCTCCGGCGCTGCCCGCCAGCTCGCGCTGCGCTAGCTCGCGCCGATTGCCCCGCTGCTGCCCCTTGCTCAGTCGTTGCTCCGCTGACTCGCCGCCCGGCACCTCTAGCCGCGGTCGATTCCAGCATTCGATATACACCACGTCATCACACCGAGCTCACCGCGTCGATGTCACCGCGCACCTGGTCAGCCGTTAGCCTCGACCTGCGCACTGGAGCAATTGCGCATCGAGCCGCGACACCACGCTGCGATGCAGCCTCACTCCGACGTGACCGCATGCGACCGCGCGTGATTTGGCAAAAATTTTTGATCATGTAGGCGCCGCGATTGGCGGAATAAGTGGTTTGGGTTGTACCCGAACCCGACCGATACCGAATCGGGTCGGGTTCGGGTTCTAAAACGAACCGTTAAAAAAGTGTAGGGTAACGCCGATTTCAAAACGTCGTTGGGTTCTAACCGTTCGGGTCAGTCGACCCGAACGACGGACCCGAAATTGAACATGGTCTATTTACAACCATCTTAAATTGGTACTAATTTTATAGTTTAAATTGTAACCATCACGATAATTTGAAGTTTGCGTAAAAGTTATGTTGCTTACTTGAAATAGGGGTGTCAAATTTGACATATACTTGAAAATCCGACCAGAAAATTTTGGTTGGAGTTAGATCGAACTGAAATTGGCGACGGTTCGAGTTAGGGTTTATTGACTCGATATTTAAAATTTTTTGGGTCGGGTTCGGGTTGACCAGGACTAAGAAATGACCTGGAATAATCTTGTTGCCTGTGCTGACCAGAGCTGACCCATCACTTCTAAAGACAACTCTGCGTCAAGCCGCGATCATAACCAATCCTATGTTGCATCCCCGAGGTAATAAACACGCGAAGCCAATCGTGTGCGTTGCCGTCGCTTGTCGATACTGTGTCCTGTAGTCGACCCGCTGCACTGTCGCTGCTGAAGTCCCGAGTGATGATCTGTCGGTTGCTGCTGTGTGGCGTAGCCTTGCCACTTGTCGGCGTTGCCGTTGTTGCAGGCCGAGTTTGTGTTTAAAAAATCGATCGCATTTGCAAATGCGGGCCGGTTTGGGTTGAACAAATAGGTGGGTTCCGTTCAGACTCGAACCTAACGTCGCTACTTAAATAGTTGACGCAAACCAAATAGCTCTTAGTAGATTTTTATGTTTAATATGTACTATATTTATTGTGTAGTGTCATGATGTAGGCTTTATAATATCATTTGCGACGTTAATTTATTGTAGGAATGCCTGAAGAGTTGTAGTGGAATTTGGTTGGTGGAATTTGGGCGGTATAAGTGAGCTGAGCCGAGCTCTTGAGCTTGATTCGTTTATTGGGGCTCACAAGCCGGGTTTATCGAGCTTACAAGTCCGGAGCTCGAGCCAACTAGAATAATATTAATTTTTTTTAAAAATTTGATGTATTTATTTATTAAATTTAAATATATAAAAAATTAATAAAAAACTACCCTAAAGTTTTATTTTAAGTCAAACTTTATATTTTTTTTTCTAAGATTTTTGACTAAGTTTTAAAAATCCTTGCTTAAGTTTATATTGATATCGCCCTAATTTTTTAAAATCTCGCGTAAATTTTAAATCTTCCCATGGGTTTTGAGCCAGCTCGAGCTCGTTTACGTGAGACGAGTCGAGCTGCGTTTCTAGTTGTCGAGCGAGCTCGATAAGGGCCTAAACTTGAACTCGACTTGACCATTTACACCCATTAAGAAGGATCGAACAGGGAGTTCGCAGAGTGTATGTCTGGATGAATAGTGGCGCATTATTATGTTTGGAATGTTGGAGGTCATGAGAAGTGCCAACCTATCATTGACATAAGCATCATGTATAATTAGGAAGATATAAAGAATTTCTTGCTCACTTGAACTCTTAGTGAAGTACAATAACAAGAAGCTTTTATCCTAATGCGTAGGGTTGGTTATATGAATCATTTTTATTCCTTGAGTTATATTAAGAGTCGAATTCTCATTTAAATCTAAATGAAAAGGCCGTTTTTAATAAGTTTAAACCAAAATTTTTAAAGTATATTATTGAAATTTGTTAATTATGACTTAGGTTGTTAGACCTAAGCTTATGTCCCAGCGGCTAATCAAGAGGGGGGGTGAATTGATATTTAAAAATTTCCCTCTTATATTTTAAACCGATAAAAAATCTTATAGTGAAATTTTCTGAAAAAGATTTTTCAACTACAGATTAACAGAAAACAATAAAGTAAAAAGCAGTGGAAAATAAAAAGACACAAAATTTATAGTGGTTCGATCAAACACGACCTACATCCACTCCCTGAAGTCTCCCACTTCAGGTATTGCACTATTACCACTTAGTGTCTCTCCTTTTGCCCCCACAGCAAGGTGGAGAAGCCTTCACAAAAAAAACTCTCTTCCACCACTACCCGGTGCGGTAGAGAACCATCATCCTTTTACACCTTTCAAGTGTAGGCAGAGTACCTCCCACTGTTCACACTCTCCAAGTGTAGGTAAAGAACCTTCCTGCTGTTCATACTCTCAAAGTGTAGGCAGATAACCCTTCGTCCTT